TATTATTTATCTATCAGTTTTGCATGTACAGTGAAACCTCTGTTAAGCGGACCCCCAGTTAAGCAGACACCCTCTATTAAGCGGACACTAAGCTGGGCCCCGAAACGAAGGTCTGATATTTCCCTTTATAACGAACCCCTATTCAGCGGACACCTCTATTAAGTGGACGCGGACACTAAAATAAGTTGTATTTGGCTAATTTCTATTGTTAAAAACCTCTATTAATCGGACACCGGACTGAATTGACAATAGTAGCATTGGATTACGTCCTTGAAATACGTACTGAAGTCAGTTAGTGTTTTTGTATTTACAAACAAATTAAAGTTGATAATGAAAGGTAATGAACTAGAACTCTGGATAGCTTCTTTAACAACATGCAACTTTATCACAGTGCAGAGTAACCGTTGAATGTTGATCGTTAACAAACATTGCACAATTTTTACAACCCTTATTAAGCAGACACCCTCTATTAAGTGGACACTTGGGAAGGTCCCGAAGGTGTCCGCTGAATAGAGGTTTCATGGTACTCTCTTTTATTTTTGATATCAAAAAGCAGCTGAAGAAGATTGGGAGATAAGGGAAGGAAACAAAGCAATGAAAAAGCAATTTAGGTATTGCTTAAAATCCTGCACACTGATAAGTTGCTATCAGGTGTCAATTATCTTGGCGTCCGCTATCTTGTTTATGATCAGATTGAGAAGAGCTGGTATCAAGAATTGAGTCAAATATGCCATTCTCCATGTGCAGATGTTGATTCCTTATACTTATGCGCTAGTGAAGGCTTAACATCTTAGTTCTTTTGCTTAATATCTCACATATACCAGTAAGTAAAATTTATTTCCCCATTTTTAAAGAATGTGCCAGGTTCACTTTGACAACTAAGAGAGATAAGAAACAAAAGCTATGGAGTCGAGAATGGTATGTATATCAACAGCAGTTATATTCACATGATCACACTACTAGGAACATCTCATATCCTAAGAAAGGAACTCTCCATCAATTAACAGACTTCTTCCTCATTCTAACTCTAGCACAGTCATGAGATAAAGTTAAAGGAGATAGTAATGATAATAATAATAATAATAATAATAATAATAATAATAATAATAATAATAATAATAATAATAATAATAATAATAATAATTCATTCATTCATTCATTCATTTATATTGCAAAAATATCAACCAAAAAAGTTTTCCAATGCACAGGTAAAATTCAGATAGAATACATTCGCACAGCAAATAAGTTTTTCTTTGATATAGTATTTGGTATAGTATTTGATATAGTATTTTCAATTTTAGTAATATATCTTACACTCATAACTAAAACTTAGACAAGTCAGTCTCTTTCAATAAAAAAAAATACGGAAACCATTTTATATTCATAGGACTAATAAGCTTAAAACATCCTATTACCATAGTGCAATCAAAGTAGGTTTATGACGATCACAACATTTTCCACTAAGCGATGTCTCTACCCATACATAAAGCTTATAGCTAACGCTGTAATTCTCGGAATAAGTTTTAAGTCTCAAATCACCTTTTCCTTTGATGTCAGCATCGTTTGAAAGCTACATATTTGAGTAAAAGAGAGAGAAGATTAAAATCTGCCCTGAAAGCAAAAAAAAAGGGCACAACGAAGCGAAAAAAAATCCTTCCAATAAATCGAAGATTCGTAACTATATCTTCCTTAAGGGCGTAGAAAGTACGTAGAAGGTGGCTAACAATCAATAAAATTAAGCTTTATTCCGCTGATTTAAGACAAACCTTGAAGTTTTTGCTGAAGAGAACAGGGTCCTCCATTTCTGCCATCATCCCGCGTAGTTTTAAAACCCAATGTAGCCTCTCCTCTTACCGAAGATCTCCGGAAACTGACGAGTTCATCCGATAAGTTCCGAAGATTTCCGAGAAGAAATTTGTCTTATACAAAATTACATTTCTTGGTTTTCTTCCGTTAAATTTCTTCCTACAGGAATAAAATAGACTTAGTTCCGGGCGTTAATCTAATTTTCCAAAAGGAATTTTGACAAACTCGAACTATTTAGAGCCCTTTATCCGCTCTTTAAAATATTTCCTTGAAGAATATTTAAATTAAAAAGAAATTTTCCTCATTCTCCACCTTTGCTCAAAATTAAAAAATAATCAATACACACACTAATTTCCGTTTTAAGATTCCTCCTAATTTCTGTCGAAACTCAGAAAAAAAACTTCGAAAGCTTCAACTTTCGACGGATCAAAGTTTGCAATAATTGACCAATCAAAACAGAGTTTTGATGGAAAACAACCAATCACAAGACTTAAATTGTGACCAATCAGTAGAAAACGCGGCAGGTATAAATTTGTATCCTCACACAGTCTTCACTCACTCATCTCGACAGAATCGTCTTCGAAATGGCCCGTACAAAGCAAACTGCTCGCAAATCAACCGGTGGAAAGGCTCCACGAAAACAGCTAGCCACTAAAGCAGCACGCAAGAGCGCTCCTGCAACCGGTGGAGTCAAGAAACCTCATCGTTACAGGCCTGGTACAGTCGCTCTTCGTGAGATCCGTCGCTACCAGAAATCAACCGAGCTGCTCATCCGCAAGTTGCCCTTCCAGCGTCTTGTGCGAGAAATTGCTCAAGATTTCAAGACCGACTTACGTTTCCAGAGCTCTGCTGTGATGGCCCTTCAAGAGGCCAGCGAGGCTTACCTTGTTGGTTTGTTTGAAGACACCAACTTGTGCGCCATCCACGCCAAGCGCGTCACCATCATGCCGAAAGACATTCAGTTGGCCCGCCGAATCCGCGGAGAACGAGCATAAGTGGATTGCATCTTCACCTAACAAACGGCTCCTTTAGGAGCCACCACATCAATAAAAGCAATGCCAACCATGATCTTTTAAATTCCCCGATCTATTTCGTAGAATTTTCCCTTGTCTCTCACCCATAAACCGCATAAGTTTCCTTCCTTTGCGCTTCGCCGTTCTGGCGCCAAAATAACAAACGCGTGACCTGCATCCACTTCTAGTCGCTACAGCCAAAAATCTATAAATTTTCTTACTCTTAGCAAAGTACCATACACTCGAAAATTATTAGTCTTTCAGTGCATTTACTTCGTCCTCAATTTTTTTAAAAATTACCAGTGCACGATTTACTTTCAAGCTCGGATGTGCGCGTAGTCAAGATGGCGAAGGAATGGCAGATATACTCCCGCATACATCTAGATCGCTTTTTTCACCTCGTACAGTCCCTTTCGCCGTGCCTAACATGTATAAAACGTAATGTACCGTATTAAAACATGACAAAACCATGTATTTGTAATTCGAGGGAATTACAAACGACAATATTACTTAAAGTCCAATGCGTAGTCCTTATCTTGTGAGTAGCCTCGAATTTTATTGTGTCTTGTTTGTATCCTTGGTATTATTTTTCTAAATAGATTCCGCTTTTACATAGGAAGAACTCAATAATTTAGTCAAACATAACATCCACAGTATCTTATCTTTCTGGTAAAACATCTTTAGACGTGGCTAGGGAAATTTACTAGTCTAGTTGACACGCGAAAACCGACTTCCCATCTTGGCCGACACACCATATCACCAACTACCTACTTTTGGTCTCTAAGCATCCTGATTTTAGAAATTACATTTAACTAAGCTAGTTCACTTCTATTTTTAAGAAAAAGAAAGAATTATTTGGTAAGGACTTCTCGACAGGAAGCAATGAGAGCTAAAAGACTGGTGATTGTTCGTCAACAAAGGATCCACCGCCATTGCGGCGTTCTGTCTTTGTTACCCGGAGAAAATTCAGCTTTATTCAACCATTTTTGATAATTTGCTCATTTATCCTCCTAATATAAATTCGTGGATAAATTTACTTTGATATCATGTAAAAAGCGTACGAGTGTTGTGCTTAGTTTTCGAGAAATTTACTTTGGAACACAAGATTATCTACTTTTTAGTTCAGAATCGCAATTCTAAATTGAAAATTGAACAGTTCTGGTGTCATTTACAGCAAAACGGATCATTGTAATGCATTGCCAAGTCAATTTAATTTCTGAAAATATAAAAATAAAGAAGTTCGAGCGCTTAGATTCTTCTTAAAGTTTCTCGGAATTCTTTCAAAAAGCACAAATTTCATGTGACGGATGCAACCAGTTCGCAACGTGTTACTGTTTCCACAGCGGTCCGCATCATTCCAATAAACAACGCTCCAAGTCGTTTCAACAGCCATATTCGATCATCTAGTCACGAGTAGTAGTTGAGTGTAATTGAAATACTTTCTTGCTAAAACATGTCGGGAGAATCTCCTAAGAAGACTGCTTCTAAACCCAAGAAAGCAGCTAAGCCTGCTGAACATCCAAAGTACATCGAAATGATCAAGGCTGCCATCACAGCATTGAAGGAGCGTGGCGGGTCTTCGCGAATTGCCATCGAGAAGTACATCAAGGCGAACTACAAAGTTACTGATGTTGGTCCTCATTTGAAGATGGCCTTAAAGAAAGGTGTAGCCAGTAATGTTCTTGTCCAGACGAAAGGAACTGGAGCTTCGGGCTCGTTTAAGGTAAACAAAGAAGCCCTGAAGCAAAAGAAGGAGAAGAAGAAGCCCGCCAAAAAGCCCACAACGAAGANAAATTCAGCTTTATTCAACCATTTTTGATAATTTGCTCATTTATCCTCCTAATATAAATTCGTGGATAAATTTACTTTGATATCATGTAAAAAGCGTACGAGTGTTGTGCTTAGTTTTCGAGAAATTTACTTTGGAACACAAGATTATCTACTTTTTAGTTCAGAATCGCAATTCTAAATTGAAAATTGAACAGTTCTGGTGTCATTTACAGCGAAACGGATCATTGTAATGCATTGCCAAGTCAATTTAATTTCTGAAAATATAAAAATAAAGAAGTTCGAGCGCTTAGATTCTTCTTAAAGTTTCTCGGAATTCTTTCAAAAAGCACAAATTTCATGTGGCGGATGCAACCAGTTCGCAACGTGTTACTGTTTCCACAGCGGTCCGCATCATTCCAATAAACAACGCTCCAAGTCGTTTCAACAGCCATATCTGATCATCTAGTCACGAGTGGTAGTTGAGTGTAATTGAAATACTTTCTTGCTAAAACATGTCGGGAGAATCTCCTAAGAAGACTGCTTCTAAACCCAAGAAAGCAGCTAAGCCTGCTGAACATCCAAAGTACATCGAAATGGTCAAGGCTGCCATCACAGCATTGAAGGAGCGTAGCGGGTCTTCGCGAATTGCCATCGAGAAGTACATCAAGGCGAACTACAAAGTTACTGATGTTGGTCCTCATTTGAAGATGGCCTTAAAGAAAGGTGTAGCCAGTAATGTTCTCGTCCAGACGAAAGGCACTGGAGCTTCGGGCTCATTTAAGGTAAACAAAGAAGCCCTGAAGCAAAAGAAGGAGAAGAAGAAGCCCGCCAAAAAGCCCACAACGAAGAAACCGGCCGCCAAAAAACCCGTAGCCAAGAAACCAACAGCGAAGAAAGCAGCCGCCAAAAAGCCAGCAGCGAAGAAGGCAACTACCAAGAAACCAGCAGCAAAGAAGACAACAAAGAAACCTGCAGCAAAAAAGGCCGCGGCTAAGCCGAAAACTGCCCAGAAGAAGGCGCCAGCTAAGAAACCTGCAGCCAAGAAAGCGGCGAAGAGTCCAAAGAAATCCGCCAAGAAGTAAACTCACTTCGTGAACAACACGATAAAAAAAACGGCTCTATTAGGAGCCACCACATTATAAAAGTCAATAACCGTTAGACCTTTACACGCCGTAATTGTTTACTGCTTCAGATCTTTGCGTGTCGAGAGGAACAAACCCTAAGAAAAAGCAATATATTTTACCTGCAGTTTAAACTCATGGAATATAGAGAAGTGAACCCCTGTTTAATAAGGTAGTAGATGACTGCAAAAATGACAATTTTTCGTCTTTCCATTCCATACCTTTCGTCGCTAGACTGCTTGCAGTCCGCCTTTTCTCTTAAAATCCGGCACGTGCGGTGGCTCCGTCGCTAGCGTGCTTCGGTTACGGTTTCTCTTGCAGTAACTTTGCAAAGAAAAGTAAGAGAGCCTGCGAACAGCCGAAAAATTCTCCCTCCGAAAAATAGCTATTTTTCGGAGGGAGAGAAGCGGCGACCGGAAATGCGTCTGCTGTTTGCAAGGTAAGAGGCTGCTCCCAGTCTATTTCGTGACGTCACCCAACAACACCACAGGTTACCCAAGATCGACGTTCTTCCAAAATTCTCAAGAGAGCATTAACGACATTTTTTCTCTTACAGGTAAATAAAACTTGTTTGCATGATGTTTGGATGAACTCTATCGACGTTCTTTTCCGGTTATGTGTGGCGTTTGAACGACTGAACGGGAAAACAGCCGACATTTGGCGACGGTACCACTGGTTTCCCAGCCAAATGTCGTCTCTTTTCTCAGGCTAAGAAATACCCAACGTCCTAGAAACTGACCTTCATTTTAGTTTTTAAACAGCAAAGCCGTGGGTATCTATGTTTGGACGGAGGCGGGGGTGTGCGGGTGCTACAAAACTTAGAACTACAAAGCCGTGGAACCGAAACCCCCATCCTTCCTTGTTGCATCTCTCGGGCCAGCAAAGCAGCCGTATTGTTAAAAAATCGCAAGGAGATGACAAAGGAATTAAGATGAAATAGGGGAGGTGGTGGCGAGGCCTTATCTAGATAAGACGCACCTAAAAGTATTTTTTTAACATTTGCAAGTGTCTGATCAAGTATTTTTAGTCAACCAAAGCCAATTTGATGACCCTTGCCAAAGTTATTGGGTGGGAGTGTGCCGCGGAGGCGAACCTTGAGACAAACACCTAATTCGATTTTATTCGCTGCCCAGAGCGAAGTAGTTTAGTAAAGTTGACAACTACAAATAACATTTTTTAGAAAAAATGTTTAAGTAATGGTCCGTGTAAAAGGTAGGCAGGCGAACGGCAAAAGTGATTAAAAGGTGCTAACTTTTAATCATTAATTTCAATTAAATCAAGCGTTCTGATTGGCCGAAATCCAAAAATCGCCAAAAAAACAGTCAGAAACGTGACAAAAACACCTTTTTTTAGCTTTATTTTCCCCATTCCCCTGTCTTATACCTCACGGCCAAGTTTCAGCATTGTTCTATGCGCCAATCAAAAGTTAGAGCGGAAAACGTGCAACACACGCGCGACCTTGTTGTGACCCCATCTTAGTGTGACACTTGAGATGTTAGGAAATTTGTCTTTTACCCGAAGAAATCTCGTCAATTTCTTCGTGAAAAATCTGCATTTTTTCTTTATTGAATATTTATCTCAAATTTACTGTATTTTATCATCGGAGTGATCGTCAAAATGCTCTTAAACATGGTTTGCTGCCGTCCTCGACATGCCGAGTCGCCATGTGGGAATTTGGGCCCGGCGTAGTTGTTTTCGTTGTCAGGCCGGATCAGGAGGAGATCAGAATAATTGTGGCACTAGAAATTGGAGTACAGCTGGGCA